GACCAAGCTGGTGCTCTCCACAACGGTAGGCGAAGTAATGATCTTCTGTACGCCAATGACGTCGCGCTGGTGTGTGATGACCTGTCTGGGGTCGATCTCAATGGCGGGGTGGTACCTGATCAAGCCCTCGGCCTCCATCTCCGCGGGTGTCGGGTCACGTCCGACTGGACGTCTCGGCTCAAGGAGCTGGCGGGGAAGACTGACAATGGCGTGAGACTCTGGCAGGTAGCCTAGAACGTGGCGGCTGGTGATGCCCTGGCGGGTCTGCGTGACAGCAAGAGCGGCCAGAGGGGCAGACAAGATCCAAGCTTGGCTGATCACTGAGGGAAGGGGCACGCCGGTCGGGGTATCGACAGGCTCGGTAGAGGAGAAGTTGGCAGCATCACCAAGCGGGCCTCGATCATCGGCGTACTCGCTCTCGTACAAGTCGGAGACCACGATCTGGTTGCCCTTCAGGGTTTGTCCAGAGAGAGGCTGACCAACATCATCCTTGAGAGAGTACTGTCCGAAGAATGAGCAGGCGAACCAGTTCTCAGCGAGTGTGCACTCGATGTTCTTGTTGCCGTCAACTCCCTCATGAGTAGTGGAGTGGAGGACAGCGCCTGAGACCGAGTCGATCAGATAGACGTTGAGAGAAGACTTGGCGTTGCTGTAGGCAGAAACGACAATGGTGTTGGGGTTCAGGTACTTGTACTTGACGCGTCTGTCGCCGAGAACACGTCCGATGGAAGCAATGGGATCGTGGACGGGACGGGTTGCGATGTTGACGATCTCAAAGCCCGCTGGCGCAGAGAACTCCCAAGCAACCTGTTCCTTGCCTGTGCCTTCCTCCTCGATGTAGGTTAAGCCCTTCAGCTCGCCCTTCAAGCCACGAACGACGACAGTTTGTGTGGGTATCCATGCAGCAGGGACGTCGCCGATGGCACCTCCAACTCCAACGGGGGCGAGCCATGGTCCTGAAGGGCTATCGACAATGACAGCAGCTTGGGTTTGCACCCAGGAGCCTTCAGGCATGGAGTCAACCATCTTGCCAGTGTCTGTCTTGGCTATAACGTAATCGCCAAAGTGGCCTCGAACAGTGACGGTGGACTTGGCATCCTCAACGAAGATGCCCTTGATATCCCAGGTGTTCCAAGGGGCGATGTCGACAGCGTGAAGTTTCCAGATGACTTTGCCATGCTTGCCGATATCAATACCGAAAAGCTTGCCGCGTTTGGTCACCAGAACCACGATCTTATTGAAACCAAAAGCGTCGCGAGAAAGACCCTCTGTCTTTGAGGTAATCTCAGCTCCGGTGATGCTGCTAACCAGACGCTGGGGGATGGAGGCGAGGTAGTCGGGCAGATAGGCGAGGTCATCAAAGTGGCGCTGGACACGGTGGATGTAAGCAGACAGGACGTTGTCGTGTGCCTCGGCTTCGAGGGTCTTAGCGAGGTCCTCGCTTTCAGGGATTTCTGCGAAGGCCGCGGCGACACCTCCGGTAAGACCTTCAGGGCGAACCCAGGCCTCCTCGCCGTTGCGGACCAAAACCCAGTCATCCAGAGTAGTAACAGCTGCGCAGCGGACAGCAAAGTTGTCCGCAGCCTTCTTGATAACCTCAGATACGGCGTGAAGAGCCGCGAATCTCTCATTTCCTTCCTTAAAGGCCCATTTTCCGAGGACAGCATGCGAGCTTGATGAGGTAAGGATAACCTCCTCCTCGGTGATGCGCGTGAACCACACGTTGGCGCCCTCCGAGCTAGTCGAGAACGCGCCCAGCCCAGGGAGCACAGGCAGGTCGTGGTGCTTGGTAACGGCATTATTCTTGATGTTGACGTGGTAGACCTCGCCCTTGTGGCTGTCAGAGGATCTGCTATGCACCAAGAAATGCGGCTCCGCGTTGAGGTGATGCGGGGCATGAATAGCTACATCAAGGGTCCTGGGGAACGGAAGGGCAAACTCCTGCTTCGACTTGGTGCCCAGAACGTTGACCTTGAGCTTCGTGTGATCACTATCGAGCCAGGCGACGATGGGAGACGCGGAGTTGGCGCCCACGAACATGACGTCTCTTTTATCTGTCACGTCGCCTTTGCTGCCGAGGCTGATATCGTCGATGCGCTTTCCAGTGAGGGTGTCATGGACAGAGACTCTCACAGCCCACATACCGTCGTTTCCGTAAAGGCTGACAACGAATATCTTCTCGATGTTGTTGGATACCTGGAGCGGGATGGTTTTGGACGCATCCTTGTTCTCCCAAACAACAGTTCCGTCAGCTCCGTTGAGTCTTCTCAGGACGGTAGAGCCATCCTCCTCTTCGAAAAGCGCCAGCACATCCTTGCGTCCGTTTTCTGTCATCTCCATGACTTCCAAATCCTTGATTGTACCCACGAAGTCGATCCACCAAGCATTCCTGCCGGACAAGGCGTTCCAGGCATGTACTGAGCTTCCATACGCAGACACAACCCAATCCTCGTCCTCAGCCGCTCGCAAGTGTCCACCTCCATTCGTGATATTTCCCGTCAGGAATTGACGCCAGACGACCGCGCCGTTGCTGGGATTGACGGCTCCGAGCACCCCAACATCGCTGAGGGTGTAGAGCAGTGAAGCCTTATCGTCGCGCCGGGGCTTGTGGAATAGGGTGGTCTCGACCTGAGGGACGCCGATGAGCTCGTGGTGGTAATCGATGTCGCCAACCTCGTCGACAAACACCGCGCCGACGAGCGACGTAGCTGCGAGAAGCAGCGTCGTAAGGCGCATGGTGATGGGGTGTGGTGCTTTGAGCTTGTCGTGAAGTTGGACAGCTCCAAAAGTGTGTGAAGCTCGCACGTCACTTGGTGGTGGTTTAGTGGTGGTAGGAGCAGTGCTGTACGATTAGTGTACAAAGCACAGCGTACCTCGCCCGCAGTGGAAAGCCCCATATTTCTGTTGGAGGCGTGGCTGATTGGATGTGGGGGAAGGCCCGTGCCAGGCGCGCAACATTGACGACCGAAAGCTTTCAGAAGACGAAGGTGCCCTGCCGTGCGATCCTCTTCTCCAAATCCAAATCAATCCACATTCGCTCGAAGCTCAGCGCTCTATCCCGTTGCCAAAGCTCTCATAATGGTATGGGAATCTCCCGTGCATGTTCAAGTTGGAGAATGCTAATAGGCGCAGGCGCGAAACTCGGAAAAGGCGCAGTCCATGCTGTTTCGCTTTCGCGAAGCGCAAGCAGCGGACCTGGGCATTATCGACATCGGCCGGACAAGACGACCAAGAGTGATCACCGAGGTCGATTCGATACCGTCATGCGAGAAGTGGCGTGGCCAAGTGTTGAAGGAGATCTCGCGCAAGGTCTCCAAGATTCAAGATACCGCCCTCAGTGACTACCAGATTCGCGACCTCAACGACGAAATCAACAAGCTCATGAGGGAAAAGTACATGTGGGAGGTGCAAATACGAAATCTTGGTGGACCTAATTACATGCGTGGAGGCGGCAAGATATACGACGAAGAGGGACGAGAGATACCAGGAGGTGGAAAAGGCTATCGATATTTTGGACGCGCGCGAGATCTGCCCGGAGTGAAGGAACTATTCGATGCAGCCAAGGCAAAGGCTACAAACGAAAAACCGCTGGAGACGAGGGACGACTTGCGGAAACAGGTCGATGCGGCGTACTACGGTTACGCGCCAGATGAGGAGGACCCGGAATTGCTAGCGTATGAGCTCGCAAAGGAGGAAGAGGCCCTCGCGCACATGGCAAAGACCGGAAAGCAGCAATTGCCGCCTGACTGGGAGGCTTTGCCGGGTGACACAGGCGACGGAAAGGGCTGGGAGCTGCCGACGCTGGAGGAGGTGCAAGAAGAGTTGATCAACAGGCGGCGGCAGAAGCTCTTGGACCAATTATAGCAGCCAACCCGCGCGCTGCCTTTTCGGTTACGATGAGAACTGCTTTGATCTTTTTGGAGGGTCACTGGTGTTTTTCGAGAGGTCGTGTCGCTGCTGTATCATATTGCAAAGTTTGGGGTTCAGTCATAGCCTGAAATGATGGCTGGCGTTCTTGGAGGGTTTACGGCTAATCGAATACCAAAAATGCTATTTGTGTGAGCTCAAATGGAGTCTATATTGAATCAAGTATTTTTCGAAAAGCGCTTGCCATCGCCTGTTGATGAGGTCTATCTGAGGTAAGATACCCAGGCAGGCTAACCTTTGGTGGGCTCGGTGAAGCTCGGTGAGAGATAAGATAACACTTCCACGTGACCGATCGCGAACTTCAATCCAAGCTTCGAATGCTCAACTTTGGCGATTGCACGACCAGTGTCTCCCCGTTCAATACGTCACCACAGCCGCCAAAATGTCGATGTTCCGTGCAAAGAAGCTGGACCTGGGATGTTTCGTCAACATCCGGACGATTCGTGACCACACGAAGCGCCAGGTCTTTATGCAGAACGAGCCCGAGAGGTTAGCAACGCCGAAGTCCCTGCACCCCCTTCAAAACCGACGAATCCAATCGAGTCTGAACTGACACGAAGCTCCTTAATAGACAAGCTCTCCGATACATTATTCAGAACACGACTCTCCCGGGCCGTGTGCGCGCCGAGGCGCAGCTTCAGCTGGGTCAGATGCACTGCTACACCCGGCCGACGCAGATCAAGAACCGATGCATTTTGGGTGGCAAGGCCAGGGGTGTCTTCCGCGACTTTAAGATGACGAGGGTACGTCGAAAGCGTGGTTTTTCATCGAAATTTAGTTTGAACCGCGCAGGCTAACAAGAGAGTACAGTTCAACTTCCGTATGCAAGCGTACGAGGGTAACATTCCTGGTGTCAAGAAGGCCAGTTGGTAGACGAAAATGCGGCGGAGGACGATTATGAAAAGTAAAAGCAAAGAAATATTGTTGTAAGATATAATGAAAGGGCTCGTGTACCTTTCAGACGGCATGCTACGCTCGCGAGCTTGCTCATAGATGGACGATTTAGGGATTGGCGTTTGGCTGCATGTTGGCACCCTAAGAAGCATATGTACAGATACAAATACTGGCAAACAATGTACAACACATCTCAGTTCACGTGTGGATCAGATCTGTTTGATAGCGGACGATTTTCTTTCTGTATGCCTCGCATATATCTACTTAGGCAGGAAGTCTCACGAGTGCAGTTGCCTTCTCATTCAAGAAGAGGCCCTGGATCTGGTTTCGATCGTTGGCTTTGGAGTTCCTTCCTGCTCACTGCTGTGTTTCGCTTTCATCTTATCATCTTTTCGGTCCCTCTCCTGCTCTCCCAGCGAGCTTCTCTCAGCCTCAGTCCCCGTCTCTTCAAAACTGATAATACAAAACCCCTTCTCAGCCATCTTTCCTTCTACACCCCAATACTCCCCTACCTCGTCTCCGTCCAGCCGCCACCATGTTCCGCCGCCGCTGGTCTGGTCTCCCCAAAGACCCTATCTTCTCATCTAACTTGAAGGATCTTGGGTTTGCGGCCTTTTCCGTTTCAAGCCGTGACCAGAGCTAACGTTTCCAGCTATTTCATCAACGACCAAGATGAGATCCGCAACATCAAGGAACCCAATTACTACTTCAAGTATTATCTCACCAAGAACGGCCGCGTCAATGATCGCCAGCGCTTCCATTTCAATGGTAAGTACCTATTATTGTTAACCTTCATTGCGCCTTCTTCCTAACCTTCATACAGATGCGATCCGCGACATTGTCCATGGCCGTCTCGAAAAGGAAGGCTTGAAGAAGGTCCTTCTACCTCTCGGCGTCGAGCCAACCTCGCCCAACGTCTCCATCTTCACAAGTGCCAACTTGGCATCTGCCTCGCGCGTAATCGTGATCTTTGGCGAGCCCAGCCAAGATCTCGGCAACTTGGCCCTCCGTGTCGTCAACGGCCCCGGCGGCATCAACAAGGGCAGCATGGTCTCAGTCGTTCAGGAGATCAACCGCCAGAGAGCCTCGCCGTCCGACGATGGTCCCCCCGGAATCATTATCGCCAACACGGGTGAGCTTTGGTGGTGGCCCGAAGGAAAAAAGGCTCTAAGCCCGACTTCCGCCATGGCCGTTCCCAGGAAGAGCATGGTTCACCACGGCCGCGCCAACAACCCAAGATACCATTCAATCCCGAATAACGAGACCCCCGAAGCCCACATTACGTACGTTCTTAACGAGGTCATCCCATCGCTTCTATCGCCAAACGCTCGCCTCGACATCATCGGCATAGGCCTCGGTGCCGACCACGCGACTAGAGTGTTGGACACACCCGAGACCTGGTCCGCTCTCGACCATCGCATCAACACCTTGTCCTTGCTGGGTAGCACAACCAGCGTCGATGAACTCTCTCACCAACCCTTCAAAGAGTTCCTCCCTCGCCGCGCTCGAGCGTACATCACAGATGAAGCGCCTGCACTAACGCCCTTAGCACAACCCGGCGGCAATCCAAACACGGCCTCCTTCACACAGCACGGCTGCACGGTCTACAGCTCCGGCGAAGTCTACCTCGTCGAGTGCATGCTCGTCACTAGCCACGTCCTCATGCTCGACTGGGTCAAAGAGGTCGCTCTCGCCGGCCCCGACTACCGCCACCCGGAGGTGGTCGCCGTGGACCCCCATGTGCCGACAGAGGAGGAGTGGGCGGCGGGAGGATTCGACGAGCAGTGGGAGAATATGCCCGAATTTGCGAAGCCGAGTATCGGATATGCCATGGCGCCTGAGGACCATGAGCATTGCCAGGTCCTGGAGGGTATTCAGAAGCTTGCGGTTGAGAAGAATGAGAAGCAGAGCGATGCTTGGGAGGAATCTTGAGGGATGATGATGGGCCGTCTCATAGATGGATAGGGGATGGTAGCATATGGGACATTATGCTCACTTGGGCACGATGATTACTATCAGGCCTCAAACATTTAATAGGAGAGCTGGCGCGAGGCAGTTAATCGTGATCACAAAAGTTAGCAACTCACATTTGCTCTGTCATTCATGCTGAAAGCGCTGCCGTGGCTTGTGAATGGGTAAAGACAATAAATATGATGTACCTATATCCCGTAATCAGTGATGACTGATAATACTTCGCTGCCAACATCTGACAAACAAGACATCAAATGCGCAAATGGTATCATTGATATAAAGTTGCTGAAACAACATTACTGTACAAGTTTGCTCCTAGTCGCTGCGCCAACCTCGACCGAAATGTGCCCATTCTTACACCTGAAGCAACGAAGCCAACCCAGCAACAGGCGGCTCAACCTGCACCAACAGCTCCCTGGTCCGCCGTATCCTCTCCTTGACGACCTTCTCCTCCGCCGCCCACCTGCTCTCCTCGGTCTTGGTCTCCGTCCAGAACCCAAACGCGGATTTCGCCGGCGCGGCCTGGTTCTTGGCCTCCTCTTCTCTGGCCAAGCTAGCCACCATGGCAGACCAGTTCTGCAGTCCCGTGCCGAGACACTCGCGGCACGTCTTGCGGGCCTCCTTGTCGCCGCCAATCGGGCCGAGCTTGCGCAGCTGCTCCTCGGCGAGGTCAACTGCGTCGCGCGTCCACGCGAGGCCCTCGTCGCAGTTCGCGGCCTGCTTCTTGGAAGAGGAATCCTTGGCGGCTGCCGCGGCGGCGTAGATGATTTCGCCAATGTAGAGGTTCAGCCCTGCCTCTTCACAGAGTTCCTTCGGGTGGCGCCAGGGGGGGCGGGTGCCGTCGTCCGGTGGCGCGGGGTACCTGGGTGCCTGTGCTAGGTTCCATATCCTCTGCCACAGCGTCGCGGGCGTCTCTGTGGGACGTTCTTGACCCGGGAGAGGAACCTGGGGCAGGGCGCGGCGGGCGCGGAGGACGGAGATGAAGATGGGGAGGGCGGCATTGACGTCGTCGTTGCGCGCCTTGTGGAGGGCGATGGAGGTGAGGACGGTCAGCACGTTCTCGGACGGCAACGTCGTCTTCTTATCGTTGATGGTGTAGGTGTGGAGATCGACGAGGGGAGGGTCGCTCGGGGCGGTTGCGGTGGCTAGAGTGAGCGCCCACTGGTACATGCGCTCGGCGGCGTCGGGCATCTGCTTGTAGTCGAGGAAAGAGGCGTAGGCGAGGGCAGCGTCCATCTTTTGTCGGTCGGTGAAGCCCTTCGTGGTGAGGATGCGGAGGTAGTGGTTCTCGGCGGGCTCGTAGGCAACTTCGCAGTCCTCTTCGCGGGGCGCGCTCTCCGCGCCAGGAGGAATGGGTTTCGGGTGCGGGTTGGAAGGGCCCAAGACGACGTCGGCGGGGAATATAATGTTTCTCGTCCGGTCCTTGACCCAACCGTCGAGCTGCTCCGCCGCCTGCGCCATGAGCATCAGCACCTCGTAGTAGCCCCGCCTCCAGTTCTCGCTCTTGGCCGAGACGTCCTTGCCCGCGTTGCCGATGCCGTCGATGGATAGAGGTTCGTCGAGAAGCTCCCGGATCGCCGCGCCGTCGATATCCGGGTTCTCCAGCCGAGCCAGCGCGCCTCTGCATGTCACGATGACCTCGACCCAGTTCACGCTGTGGCCGGGTGTATCTCGGGCAGCATTCTTGGCGCCACGGATGCCCATGCGCGTCAGGTAGGACCACTCGTGCGGCGTGGGGTATTCCTTCTCCAGTCCTTCCTGGTTCAGCAGGAAGACGATGCCGAGGATGCAGAGGGCGCCGCCCCAGATGGAGACATTATAGCGTAAGAAGAGACGGCCCTCGTAGCGCAGGAAGCGCTTCTTTTCTGTGGTGAAGTAGCGGGCCCGCGGCGCCGTGACGACGGGAATCGAGAGGAAGGGAAGCTGTGGCCTGCTGCGGGAGGTGAGGGATGTGTTGCTCGTAAAGGGCCGGGTGGTCTGGAGCCGGAAGAGCCTCTGGAGGAGGATTCGGCGGAGGGCTAGGCGCTGGCGCATCGTGGCTGCGGGCCAAGGAAACTTCAGATCGGGAGTGTTGTCGTGTTCATGCGGTTATGAGGCTCATTGATTCCTGGCGAGTGTCCGTCGGTGGTTGTGTCGTCGTTGACTTGTCTGCGGTAGAATTAAACATTCGGGAAGCTCAGAGCTTGAAGTGACCAGGGAGCTTCCAGTCCGAAGTGGTCGATGCATCCAAGATTCGATGCCGAAGTGGGGCCACTCATGGCCGGTGCGGTCGGTGGTGTCGGTGGGCGAATGTTCCGCTGTCAGCTGGAATTGGAGATGCTGATTGGTCACTCACCTACAGCAACTTTTTTTTTTCTCCTTTGACCGGCGAAAGTGCAATAGAAGCCTGACTTGAAGGTACTGCTTAGACCCATCGCCAGTGACATTGAGAGGGTCCTCCCGAAGCTCGTGTAAGACTGGCTTGACAGAAAGCCACTCAAGGCACTCCCTCTCCCTGTTGACTTGGCACTTCACTAAGCTCATCATCTTGCATGATGAGTGTGCGAGATTGAAAATGTCTTCATTTTTCTCTAAAGCGGCGTCAAGTCCGCATGCGCAACTGGCGGCAACCGCTGTGTTGTCTGGCGCCACGGTAGCATGTCTCATCCTTGGCTACCAAGCATTCGAACGAAAAGAACGAATCCAAGATCTCAAAAAGTCCATCCCTTCCTCTCCTGAGGAAGCTGCCAAGGTTCATACCTTTCCTCTATACCGTTCCAGAAACCCAAGAAACTAACATCATCTCACAGCTCACTCGGTACGGCGCCGCATCTCCCCCAGTAGACAAGGAGGATGCCCGCAACCAGGCTCTCGCCCGGAGAGCCCAGGCCGGCGACTTTGACGAGGAACTCATTCTCGAACAACTCGCCCGCAACAGGGTCTTCCTGAAAGACGACGGTCTGCAAAAGCTCCGCAACGCCTTCGTCATCGTCGTCGGCTGCGGCGGCGTCGGCTCCCACTGTACCGCCGCCCTCGCCCGCTCAGGCGTCTCCAAGATCCGCCTCATCGACTTCGACCAGGTCACCCTCAGCTCCCTCAACCGACACGCCGTCGCCACGTTGGCGGACGTCGGTATCCCCAAAGTCCAGTGCCTCTACCGCCGCCTCATCGCCATCGCCCCCTGGGCCAAGTACGAGCTCAAGAACCAAAAATTTGAAAAAATTGCCGCCGATGCGCTGCTTGCGCCCTGGGCCGAGGACGGACAGAAGCCGGACTACGTCGTCGACGCGATTGACAACATTGATACAAAGGTCGCTCTGCTCAAGTACTGCCACGATCACGGCATCCCCGTCATCTCCTCCATGGGAGCCGGTGCCAAGGGCGATCCCACGCGCGTTAACGTCGGCGATATCGGAGCCAGCACCGATGACGGGCTTTCCAGAGCTACTCGCAGGAAGCTGAAGCTGCAGGGCGTGACGGGTGGTATCCCTGTCGTGTACTCGACTGAGGTCGCCGGCGAGGGCAAGGCTGCTCTTTTGCCGCTCGACGAAGAAGAATTCAAGAAGGGCCAGGTTGGCGATCTCAGTGTTTTGCCGACTTTCAGAGTCCGCATTCTGCCCGTGCTTGGAACCATGCCCGCCGTCTTCGGATACATTGCCGCGAACCACGTCATTCTCAGCATTTCAGGTAAGAATAACTCATGAAGCGAATACATCTGATCTCACAAGGCTAACAAAGCTTCTAGGATACCCCCTCGATTATGTCCCGGCCAAGAACCGCGACAAGCTCTACACAGACATTGTCGCGTTCGTCCAAGGCTCCGAGACGAGAATCGTCCACCACAGATTCGGCATCGAAGAGTCCAAGGGTCTCCGCATCCCAGTCTCCCTTGGCGACGCCGCCTTCTTGACCGAAGAGCTGTGGAAGGGACGGAGCGCCGTCACCGGTCTCATCAACAGACTTGTGCTGGTACGGTGGAGACGGCCTGAGGGCCAGACCAAGCTGCGCATTGGGGAGGGCGCCGAGGAGCAGAAGTGGTCCAACATTCGCTTCCGCGATTTGGTTTGTATGACTAGAGACGAGGCTCTCCGCCACGAGAAGGAGTACCTTAAGAAGGACGATACCAAGTTGGAGGACCTGTACGATGCAGACGTGATTGCCCGGATAGAGGCTAGGTTGAAGGAAGCTATCGAGGTCGAGAAGGATAGACTTTGAGTAGAGAGTACCTTTTAGAACCATATCACGAGTGTCTGATTGAAAACTGTACGTCTAGCTTTTTCCTCGTTCAGATGACCCTCAAGCTTGTTCTCAATGTCAGCTCAAGAGGCCAAGGTGTGGCTGGTGGTGCCATGCAAATGTGGCTGTGCGAGATTAAAGTGGAGGGCGCCCAAAGCTCCCATCGTCGCGCGGCGCGCCTGACTGGACTTCTTCAACCGCGACTTGCTTCTTCCACCCTCAACCAAAGACGTCTCCCGAATGCCACCTCTGCCACCATTGACACAAAAGATGGGCGCAGAATTTCCGAAGGCTTATTCTTAGCACAGTCTGTTGGATTCAGAGTTCCCGCTGTCAAATCCAGTGCCTTCAATAGGTAAGCTACTTGGGGCGGAACATGAGAATCGGGGCTTTTATGACTGACCTCATCCCAGCAGCTACTCTCCAGCCTCAGCTTCAACAGAGTGCTGAAGTTTTCCTTGTATTATTTCTTACCAATTCTTTCTCTAGCTCAAGGCAGCTGCTTGCGCAGATTCTCGAGTGAGATCTGGCAAGACTTCCCTCCCAGGAGCGCGGCTGGTATCTTTTCCCATACTATCTTTTTTCGATGACGCCAAGTCGGTTTCCATCTTGTTCCCACAATGCTTTACCAGTATTTTTCGCCCATTTTCTCGTCCACCTGATACACCTTCCTTACCCCCTTCCCTCACTCCGCCTGCATTGATGAAAGCTTTCACAAACGGTTACGGGACCATCGGGTTCTGCGG